GTTATCCCACCTTATATAATTTGGTCGCGTATGTGTGTGTGTGTGTGTGTGGATGTCACTTTCGAGGCCCGATTTGAGGGCCTTCCCGTGAATAAAATGCCCTAATTCTCCGTCACCCGGGGGAATCGACTCTTCTGTTTCCGATGGCGTTCTCAGAATTTCGATAAAATACAAGTTTACAAAGTTAAGGCCGGTTTTATTCATTTTTGGGGGTCCCGGAGGGCTAATTTGCATAATGCGAGAAAATACAAATTTCCTCATTCTTGCCAGTTGCACTCGCGCGTTTGGCTGCCTCATTCGAGCTGCCTCTCATTGCCTTTGCTCCCCTTTCACGGTAGTCACCTCGGGGCATACAAGGGGTGTTGCGCGCGCGCTCTCAAGCATTTCATGGTATAGCGGTTAGAGCGTCAGCCTGCCAATCTTGCTATCGGGGGTTCGATCCCTGGCTATCGTATTTTTTTGCTTTATGCTCGGAATACATGTTTCGAAGTGTATTTTCCTGTAGAGAGGCGCTATACTGAAGTCAGTCGCTCTAAACTGCGTCGCAGGCTAACGAATCCAGCTAGCCGCACAAGCTAGCGCCGCAGGCTTTAGAACGAAGCTAGCCACACAAGCTAGCGCCGAGGCTTTAGAATGAAGCTAGCCGCACAAGCTAGCGCCGCAGGCTTCAGAACGAAGCTAGCCACACAAGCTAGCGCCGCAGGCTTTAGAACGAAGCTAGCCACACAAGCTAGCGCCGCAGGCTTTAGAATGAAGCTAGCCGCACAAGCTAGCGCCGCAGGCTTCAGAACGAAGCTAGCCGCAAAGCTAGCGCCGCAGGCTCAGAACGAAGCTAGCCGCACAAGCTAGCGCCGCAGGCTTTCAGAACGAAGCTAGCCGCACAAGCTAGCGCCGCAGGCTTTCAGAACGAAGCTAGCCGCACAAGCTAGCGCCGCAGGCTTTAGAACGAAGCTAGCCACACAAGCTAGCGCCGCAGGCTTTAAAACGAAGCTAGCCACACAAGCTAGCGCCGCAGGCTTTAAAACGAAGCTAGCCACACAAGCTAGCGCCGCAGGCTTTAGAACGAAGCTAGCCACACAAGCTAGCGCCGCAGGCTTTAGAATGAAGCTAGCCGCACAAGCTAGCGCCGCAGGCTTCAGAACGAAGCTAGCCACACAAGCTAGCGCCGCAGGCTTTTAAAACGAAGCTAGCCACACAAGCTAGCGCCGCAGGCTTTAGAACGAAGCTAGCCACACAAGCTAGCGCCGCAGGCTTTAGAATGAAGCTAGCCGCTGAAGCTAGCGCCGCAGGCTCAGAACGAAGCTAGCCGCACAAGCTAGCGCCGCAGGCTTCAGAACGAAGCTAGCCGCACAAGCTAGCGCCGCAGGCTTCAGAACGAAGCTAGCCGCACAAGCTAGCGCCGCAGGCTTTAGAACGAAGCTAGCCACACAAGCTAGCGCCGCAGGCTTCCGAACGAAGCTAGCCGCACAAGCTAGCGCCGCAGGCTTAAGAACGAAGCTAGCCGCACAAGCTAGCGCCGCAGGCTTTTAGAATGAAGCTAGCCACACAAGCTAGCGCCGCAGGCCTTAAAACGAAGCTAGCCACACAAGCTAGCGCCGCAGGCTTTTAAAACGAAGCTAGCCACACAAGCTAGCGCCACAGGCTTTAGAACGAAGCTAGCCACACAAGCTAGCGCCGCAGGCTTTAGAATGAAGCTAGCCGCACAAGCTAGCGCCGCAGGCTTCAGAACGAAGCTAGCCGCACAAGCTAGCGCCGCAGGCTTCAGAACGAAGCTAGCCGCACAAGCTAGCGCCGCAGGCTTTAGAACGAAGCTAGCCACACAAGCTAGCGCCGCAGGCTTTAAAACGAAGCTAGCCGCACAAGCTAGCGCCGCAGGCTTCAGAACGAAGCTAGCCGCACAAGCTAGCGCCGCAGGCTTCCGAACGAGCTAGCCGCACAAGCTAGCGCCGCAGGCTTCAGAACGAAGCTAGCCGCACAAGCTAGCGCCGCAGGCTTTAAAACGAAGCTAGCCGCACAAGCTAGAGCCGCAGGCTTCAGAACGAAGCTAGCCGCACAAGCTAGCGCCGCAGGCTTTTAGAACGAAGCTAGCCGCACAAGCTAGCGCCGCAGGCTTTAAAACGAAGCTAGCCGCACAAGCTAGAGCCGCAGGCTTCAGAACGAAGCTAGCCGCACAAGCTAGAGCCGCAGGCTTCAGAACGAAGCTAGCCGCACAAGCTAGCGCCGCAGGCTTTCCGAACGAAGCTAGCCGCACAAGCTAGCGCCGCAGGCTTCAGAACGAAGCTAGCCGCACAAGCTAGCGCCGCAGGCTTTAAAACGAAGCTAGCCGCACAAGCTAGAGCCGCAGGCTTCAGAACGAAGCTAGCCGCACAAGCTAGCGCCGCAGGCTTTAGAACGAAGCTAGCCGCACAAGCTAGCGCCGCAGGCTTTAAAACGAAGCTAGCCGCACAAGCTAGAGCCGCAGGCTTCAGAACGAAGCTAGCCGCACAAGCTAGAGCCGCAGGCTTCAGAACGAAGCTAGCCGCACAAGCTAGCGCCGCAGGCTTCCGAACGAAGCTAGCCGCACAAGCTAGCGCCGCAGGCTTTAGAACGAAGCTAGCCACACAAGCTAGCGCCGCAGGCTAAGGAAGGAGGTAACCGTTCAAATTGCGCCGCAGGCTTAATCTTGAAGCAAACCGCTCAAGCTGGCGCCACAGGCCAAAAAAGGAGGCTAATCCCTCAGGCTTGGGCCGCAGGGTGAGGTAGCGACCTAGCCGATGAAACATGCGCCGCAGGCCTAATAACGAGACTAGCAGTTCAAGCTTGCGCCGCATGTCAATACAAAGAGGTTTGCATGGACGATGGGTTTTTCTTTCTTCAAGGTAACTTTATGTGGAAGGGCGCTCGATTAATAGGGCCTAGACGGGATCCAGCGGGGGAGAGTCGCGAAGCGGCTCCTCCCCCGCTGGTTATAAATTAAACTAAAAAATGTTAGAAATATGTAATTAATTGTGCTTGGCCTAACCCTATTTTTTCCATAAATTTAAGCTTTCTCCCACCTCGTCATCCGGATAAACTTCATCGAGAAATCCTTGCCCATCAGCTCGTTGTTGCAGAACACGTCCAGCTCTTGGTACTTTGCCACGTCGTTCCAGAGACATAGCGCCAGGTATCTAGCAACATTTAACATTTATAACTTATTTCGATACTTTTAATACTTCCTTTTTGATTAAAAATTAAAAACCAACCGTTTTATCGTATTTATCGTAGCCATGGAATGTAGTCTAACGATATTACGACCAATTTTTCCAAGGCCAGGCGACGGTGAGAGTTCTACCATTGTCTAAAAATGGTTTATTGGCTTTTTATAGTTTGTAATTACGTATTTAGCGTGTTTCGAACGGTATTCAACTTTTTTTTGCATTAATTCGTTAGTATTATCGCTTGAGTTTACTTTTTTCTTAACAATTTACCTGATCCCCCTGCCGGTGATGCGACACTTCCGGTTTCGTTTGATAGCATTTATACATTGGCCCAACATCGAGGACTTCTTCCTGAAAAAAACATGTATTTTACAACTTGTACAAATTCGATAAATCCGGCAACTTACAATTCTACGGATGACAACTAACTTTTTTCTTTAATTAGTTTTTTCTAAAAACCGACCTTCTTCCCGGGCATCGGCTCATCGATAATGCCCTGTTTTTTATTTTGCCGTCTCAGGAAATCGTATCTTCTCCGTTTCTCCTCGGCGAACATTCCTGAAATGGAGTCTTTCGTACTTTTCTTATTTTCATAGCATAATTATTTTATCAAAAAAATAGTATTATTAAAGCCTTAAAATTTAGGAAACTTACCTGGCACAAGCCTGTAGACGATATCCTGCATCGTGCGGTCAAAGGCGACATAGTGAGACGGGTGGGACTGGTGAATCAGCTCGCCGCACTGGGGGCAATTGTTGTCCTTGTCCTAAAAAGTGGTCAAAAGTGATTTTGGTCGTCAAGAATCTCTGCTAGATTGCCTAGGCCTTGAGTTTTAAGATAAAAGCCATTCTCTAGTGAAACTGACCTCAAAATGCTTCAGCAAACACGATTTGCAAAAAGTGTGTAGACATTCGATAACCGTAGTTGCATCGATGAGGTAGCCCTAAAAAAGTGGTACTTTTAGAGCTTGACATAATCTTGATTTTGGCTACAAACTGCAAATTACACCGATAAAAAAGTGAAGCAAACCTTGCAAATCTGACACGTGATGTGGTCGTTCAATTTGGTGAGCGGGAGGAAGTAGGAGGTTTTGTACTCCTTCGCGTCGAAGCCATCTTCCTAAAGACGATGTTTTATGAGAGCTGAGGCGCTTTTTAGAAAACGATCTCCGGAACTATCTAAAGCCAGGAAAATTGGACTTCGTAGGGCTTTTTAAATAATTTAAACGTATTTTTGGAAGTTTGAAAAATCCTAAAAGCCTGATAACTAGCCGCACATTGTAAATTTAGTTTTTTTCGCATTCCATCAAACTAAAAATTGCCCTTTTCCACCGTAACCCACCGTATTCTCATTATCATTACTGACCGAGGGGCTCCGCCTGCTGCGTCGATGATTCTCCTTGTCGCCCTTCGATTTCCGGCCCTTCTTCGACGCGGGCTCCTTCTCATTTTTGGAAGACGTCGATGGCTTGACGTCCTCGGACTCCCTCCGATCTTTCCGCTTCATTTTATACGCCCCTAGAAGAGCATAAAGTTTTTTGTGGGGGGGGGGCATCGATAACGTGTGATAAGGACTGTATTTTCGAAACCGAGTGAGAGAGCGGTCGTTGATAAAAACAAATATAAACTATTGGACCTTAAAAAGCAGAAAAATAGGCTCAGAGGCGTTAAGGTATAATTAACGTCATGGGGTTCTTAGGAAATTTCAAAAACCTATTTCTACTACCATTTATTCAGATAACGCGATTATATCGTAGTACGATAAAATTAAGCAAGAAACAATTGAAGGCGACAAGAAGCAACAAATTACAAAAGCCCAAGAGAACGTGCAGTTTTCCGGACAATTGAAGCGATAAAAAAAGCCTGTGAAAAGACGAAAAGAAAGGGCAGTAGTTACGCGTCAGGGCAATTATGTTCGCGGCGAAAGTGGGAAATTGAAAAGGCAAAAAACGGAGGTTGGAAAATCGCCAAAAAATCTTAGAAACTGGACGAAAATCATCGGATTGTGGGGATTAGCCAAAAATTGGACGTTTTGTCATTTTTCCATGAAGCTTAGCGTGGATTCCGGCAGTTGCATCAACTATTTTAAGAAGAAGTTGAGTAAATACAAGAGAAAACCATTTAAAGGTATCGTGAAGTTTAGAACCCAGAATATGAACGCAAGATCATCAAAAAACGCCTCGAAAATGCGGCTTCTCGGATTAAGTCAAACGCGGATTACGGTCATTCAAAAATAAAGAACGCACCGACGATTTACTTGATAAAAAACTACGCTTGAATTGGTATAGAAGTAACGAAAAATGGAGAAATTCAAAAAGCTAGACCGGTTTCGACCTTTGATCTTTCGAGATTGGATCATCAGATTTTCGATGAATTACAAACTCAACTAATGGAAAATTTAATCTTGATGAATCCTACTATATATAAAAAAATAGTGTCTGTGTGTGTGTGTGTGTGTGTGTGTGTGTATATTTGCATGCAACTTCCGTAAGTATGTACCGCACCTACAGCCTCAGGGGAAAGTTTTTAAGGTACGTATGATACGTCATTAGGTGCGTAAGGGTCCCGAGATGAGTGCACACATATAAGATTTAGGAAAATCGGCTGTTTTCGCTATTAAAATTAAGTTTTTGTAAATATATCGAAAAACCTCTTTGTTAGGAGGCAATTAGCATTGACCGGAAGTGGCCGTAGCCTATAAAAAGGGAGTGAGGGTACGCTTTTCATTTTTTTGGTGATCGGCATTCGGCAAGCCCTATGTAAAGTCAAATTTTCAGTACCTAAAATTAAAATTTTCTATACCTAAACGGGTCCAGGGGGTGAAAAGCCGCGAAGCGGTTTTTCAACCCTATATATAAAAAAATAGTGTTTGTGTGTGTGTGCCACTTTGCATCCACTTCCGTCTGTCTGTCCGGAGGATATCTCAAGAAGGGACGGGTATTGGGCTACGTATGATACGTCATTAGGTGCGTAATGGTCTCGGGATGACTGCACACATCTTAGATTTTTAAAAATTAGTCATTTTCGCTATTAAATTTAGGTTTTTGTAAAAACCTCTTTGTTAGGAATAATTAGCATAGACCGGAAGTGGGCCGTCGCCTATATAAAGAGGCAGAAAGGGTTGTTTTTCATTTTTTTTTGTCTTCTGCATGGAGGACCATTATGCAAAGGGCCGAATAGTATGGGGTCCGAGACGGGGCCAGGGTTGAAAAGTCGCGAAGCGGCTTTTCAACCCTGGTCTTAAGTAAAATAATATACTTTTAGGGCCATTGCCCACCAATTAGATATGCAAATCACATTTCAAGGGGACATCCCCCGGGGGGTGGCGCGGGAACGCGATGTGGGCGAATATCGATTTTTTGGGTGACCGGCCGTCGGGGGTGTTCGGGATTGGGCAAACGGCCAAGGCGATATTAAAAACTGTAAAAAACGTCAGTTTAAATCTAATAAATTTCTGTATACCTACAGCGAAAGAATCTATCAAAGATTTTTGTGTCGTCCAACTTTCCCGCGCTCAATTTGGGGCGGGAATTTGCGGGGTTTTGCAGGGCGGGGAAGTAAATTTGGGTGCCTTTTATAATCTGGTTTTCGGGCAGATTTTTAGTAGATGTTATAGGGAATTTGGTATACTATTGATTTCCTACAAAAATTCGATCTGAAATGACGAGTAATCGATAGAAAATTGATCCCAAATTCTGAGCAATTTTAGCCTATTTTGGGGAGCGAACAAGGGGTGCTTTTTAGCAAGGCTAAAGCTACAATTTTCAGCTCATTCGATAGAGAATCGAATGTACATTCAGATTAGTTTAAAAAGGTATAAAAATTGTACATTAATGCCTAGTTTTAAAGCCCTGAAATCGTAGGGGTTTGTGCGGGCTGAGTGGTGCGTGTGTGCCGGGCCTGGCCGATTGACCTGTGAGCCGACGAGATAGTGGGCAAAGGGTAGAGGGCCCAGACGATCAGGCACATTTTGGTTGAAAAGGCGCAAAGGGGGAAAGGGGCGCCGGGAAGTGCTAGCGGCTGCAAATTCCGAGTCGTTTTTTTGGAGGGTCCAAAATTAGATAAGAGCGAGGATTTGTTATATTTCATAGTTGTTGATCGAGCATCCTTTCTGAAAACCCGATCTGGGATCCATACAGTCCTTTGAAGGATCTTCTGAATTCCAGTAAAATACTATCGCCGGCTGCAAATTACGAGCGGTTTTTATGTGGGCCAAAAGTAAATAGGTGAATGAGTTGTTATATTTTGTTAATATTAAGCTCCTAGTAGTTAGAAGGCATTATTCTGAGGCCTGCACGGATCCAAAAACTAGCTTCCAATTCCGAGCGGTTTTCGGCAACTGAAGTTTGTCTAAAAGCTACAAGTTTACATCAACAATCAACAAGTTACATTTACATAGCTGTCCATGCCCTGACTGCAGCAGGT